AGAGAGAGAGAGAGCGGGATGCTAAGGCTGTCCTGGGTGAAAAGATAGGTCAAAAGTACAAAAGAAAGAAAGAAAGAAAGGAAAAGAAATAAATCCCAGTTTATTTGGATCTATTGCAGATTTCTCCATTGACCCCAATGTTAATTTTAGGTTGCAAAACTGTTGACAACAGGGTATCTGTTGCTTCTGAAACCCAGAAAAGCAGTATATTGAACTAATGACCTACCTTGTCACTCAGGACAGCCATAGCACCCTGGAAAAGAGCAGCACACCTAAGAGTAGGGTTGGAATGACGTTCTAAGGCATCCTTCCCTCTAGCATTTGTGGACTTCTGTCATGTTCAGCCCAGTCTTAGAGCATGACTGATCCGAGAAGAAATCTGTGAATGCTCACAGGACAAAAGTTGTGCGGCTGGCAACCCTCTTCCACACTGCGTGACCTGGAAGAGGGAGCTAGTTGCAGGTCTCAGAGGGTTTGATTCCAGTCAGGTGCCCACGAACGCTGGGCCACTCACCAGGAACACTGACTCACTGCAGCAACAAAGCAGGTCAGGGTCTGGGGAGTCAAGCCCAAGCAACCCATTGGCTTCCCACCCCACTGATGGATTATTCCACACATCCTTACCTGAGAGCCCAGTTACTGTGCCACAAGGTGAGAGCAGTTCATCCTTTCCCACTCACCAAAGCCCGCCATGAAAATGTGCCATGCTGGTTGTGGGTCATGATCCAGTCGATCTCAGATCCAGTCTTTCTCAACCTACCCAGAGGGCACCACAGGGGGAGGTCTGGCCCAAATGGCGATGTGTTGCTCATATCAGCCATGAGGGACTTAAAGAGCCCTTCGCCTGCATCCCAACTCATGGAGGTCAGTGACTGGAGACAACACTGCTCACTCTTCAGCCCTTGCTGTGGAAACACGGAGCACAACTACTCTGATGCTATTGCTTCTTTGCTTCTTAACAGATTCCTGCTGTGATCGCAAAGACCTCACCGGCGGTGAATGCCTTCATTTATGCCCTGGGAAATGAGAACTACCGAGGAGGTATATGGCAATTCCTGACAGGGCAGAAGATTGAGAAAGCTGAAGTTGATAACAAAACTAAGTAATCTCTTACAGCGTTAAGCAAAGGGCCTGTTTGCCCATTTCAATCTTTCAGTTAGTTTGGGATTTTTTGTTAAAGTATGCACTTAAATATGTAAATTGTGATGTGACAAATAGGTTTTGACAACATGGGCGTGCTCCTCGGGGAACCAGAACTGACCTGAAGATCAGACTCAGCCTGGTTTCTCTGTAATGTGTGAAAGGGCCCGAAACAAGGTAGACATCCCTGCAAGCAATGTGTGTCAGAAACTCTGTGCATTTCCTGTAACGTAATTAATCGGGGTTCCACATCAGACACGTGTAGCATTGTCATTCAGCAATTATTGCTTTCCTGAAAAAAATGCCACACCATTGAACTTGTCTTTTGACCTGTCATGTGCTGTTTACCACATCAGTCTCCTTTTACATGTCACTGCAAATAAAATGCAAGCTCCGTAGCACCTTTTGGTGAGGAGCAGGGGGAACAAAATGGAAGAGCAGACTTCCAGAAAACAGTTGCAGGAAAGCTGCTGGGGGCATCCCGGGAGACCTAGCAGAAAGGATTTCCACTTCTCTTGTACATAGGGTATTTCTGGGTTATTGAGAGATTAAACAAGTTGCCAGCATTTTTACGCCATATGGTCGCGTCTGTGTTTTGCAACTGCATGGAACGGATGCTTGCAAAGGCAGGGCAATATTTCCTAAATGCTTCCCTTATTTATGAGTGCCGTTCATTTAAATTGGCAGCTGACCGAGAGGAGCTGGACTGGATATTTCATCAGCCAAGCTGACGGTAGAAATTCGATCTCGCGCCGTATGGGGTTTTGATGCTGCCCAGCCAGCCTAGCAGGCTGCCTCCCTGGCAGGTTCTGCATTGCTGTATTAATGGCATTTGACTGTGTGCATTGCACCATTCTAGTTTGCTTTGTTTATGTGCCTTCGGGCAAGAGCTAAATGTGGTCAGGCAGCTACTCACAACAGCAGCCCCGCTGCTTCTGCCGCACTCTCGCCTGTCAGATCTGTTTTAGCACCTGCATTTGAACATCATGCTGAGCTAGGTTTGATGTTATGCTTGAACCAACATGAGTTAATGAACCATCCTTGTGATGGTTGTCCAAGGAAGAGGTCAAACCATCATTTGAAGCTTGTTTCCACAAGCTGTGCTTTGCTGTTGCAATTGAACTCCTAGCCTAGTTGGGGGCCCTGCTTTGTCTTGGAGGGCAACTGCAATATGGAGTGAGCTTTGAAGCAGAGTGCTTGAGCAGACAGAAGCAAAAACAGATGTGCTGCTCTAAACCATGGTTTGCCAGTTGTGTGTTTTGAAGCTGAAGCCAAAGTTGTGGGCTTTGGACTATGCTCAGGGCAAACCATGGTTTGGCATGTGATAGATGAAGTGAGTTGAAGCATGTGACATGATGTGAAGTTATATGCATCACATATTTTGCGTTTGTAGACCTTGGGTTGAATCCAAACTTAGCAATACTAAGATTAAATCCACTGAGATCAATCAGATCAAATTGAGCATGGCGAATTTGGATTTGCTCTGAGTATACGAGTGACCCTGTATTCAACCCACTTATCAAATATGTGATGAATATGATACCACTATATTCTATCGAAATATGGAGGAATACAGGTACTGAATATGTGTATCATGTCACACACACTGGCTGGGTTCGCACATCCCAAGAAATCCTGGTGATTTCCCACGCTTCCAATCTGTTGTGTCATCCAAAGCCACTCGTGACTTTTCTGTGTGGTACCTTTAGTGTCCTCAAGCCACAGAGGGAATCAACTGTCTGTTCTAAGGCTTCCATGCTTCACCATGGCTTCTCTGGTCACCTAGGACCTCCATTTTAAAATGGTTGGTATTGAAACATCATAGAGTCCTGTGGAAAGAGAGACCACAGAAATGGCTGCTCAGCCCTCCATCTTCTACTACCCTCGGCTCCCTAGCAACACATGCATCATCAGCTGCTTTATTCCTGTTGGTTGAATGATACGCTCATCTCCCTGTTTGCTCTGAGAAACAGGGAGAAAATGAGTAAATGAAGAGTGGGAGAAGGGGAGAATCACAGCAAAAGTTTTTATTATGATTTAATAAAAAATTGCTTTGGGGTCTGAAGTGACCAAGAAACGTTGGATGGATGCAAATAAACACTGGAGAGAAAAAAGCAAGAACCACCTCAAAATCTCGGCAGACCAGTCAGGACAAGGCTGCTGAGGTCCTTAGGGAGTAACAGCATAATGGAGGAGATTTTGCTCACGGGCTGCTGGGATGCATGGCAAGAGTGGAAGGAAAGGGCAGGAAGCACAGAAACTGTGTCATAGGAACCATGTGATTGTCTGACCAGCACGTTCAGCCCAAAATCCACAAACACTGGGAACCATACAGGGCTGTTTGCCTTGATATGTGACCCCAGAAACTAACTCAGTTCCGGTACCATACCAAATCATGACTTGGACATAAGTGTAGCTAAAAATCTGCTTCGAAATGTACTGCAAACAAATCATTGACTCCCAGCTGATTGGCTGAGTAAGGCTCATGATGGCCATCACAACAGCCCGGCTGAGCAGGATCTGAAACCTTGGTCGGAGTGAACAGAGCAGAAAGGACTCTGCATGCAGGTCACAGCCACTAGAAGCAAGAGGAGCTCAGCCCTGGGTGCTCTGTTCCTGCTTGGCTTGGCATGACATCCGAGCTAGGAATTTCTCTCCAGCACCACAGAACTCCTGATGTGGGTGTCACACGAAGCAACCCAGGTTCTTTTGCCCTAGTGGGAGCAATCAGGGGGAACCAGCACACTCACCCACGCCTGCTTTGTTTACAAGAATGAGTTGCAGTGTCTGACTGCAGCCAGCATCTTTCATTCATCTCAAACTTCTGGGTGGCTCACTGAAGGCAGAATCTTTCAGCCAACAGGAGAATAAAAACCTCCATCAGAGTTTGCTTTAAATTACTTTACAAATACTTCATACAATACAAATTCCCCCATTTCCAGAATGGGTGAGCTTTCATACTGGCACTCACATCCCAAGCTCATTATCCCAATTAATTAACCCTGAGGCCCTAATGATTAGGAAGGAACAAGGAGGGCTTTTTCTTCTCATAAAGACCCACGTATGACCACATTTCTTCCATTGTGTTTTAGCATACAGGAACTCTCATGCACAGCAGGGTGTCTCATGGTCTGGGTTGGGCTGCTTACACATCCACCGCCAGAAATATTTGGAAATACCTTTAAAATACCTTTTAAAGAAGGAAGGACTTTTTTCGATGATGCACACATAGGCTTAAAACCTCACTGCGAATGAGGCCAGAAACAGAGGTCACAGAAGGCCTGACGAACACGGACTTTGCACAGGATTAATAGTAGAACATGGAGGGGAACTAATCCAGTTCAGAGCACTATTATATCCTTGCAGTACAAGAAGGAGAAATAAAATAGCAGGCAATGACTGCCGTATCCCAATGTGTGGAAAATCCCCATGGTGGAAGAGGAATTGTGTAAATGTAAATACGATTAAACCAACATAGCCAAAGACTAGTATGAAACAATACTTTCTTTTTTCTATACTTTAAGCCTCTTAAATATGCAGAAAGGGATTAGGAAGGCTGTGCTTCCGTGAGGACAATGCATGATGTTTCTCTCTGTATGTATAGAAGCCAATTCCAAACAAGAATTCCACATGAGATGAGAAGCATGAGGCCATCAAACTATGGACCCTTCTGAATCTAGAGATCTCTTTGCATTAACAAGAGATTACATTCTTCAGAACTTAGCCATCACCCAAGAAGCCACACAGGTCCTTATGCTACATTAATTTGAAAATATTTTCTATAGATCAATGCTTCTAGGAGCTGAGCAGTGAGCACTAATAAAGGCCTCTGGTCTATATAAAACTTGCAAAATATTTTTTCCAGAAATAAAACCAGGAAACTGAGATATACTGTGGGAATCCATGCTTGTCCATGCTTGCTGGAGAAGAACCATTTAAATGATGTTGTACCTTCCATGGGGAGGTGCTGGGGAGGCATCCACTGCTGCCATTGCATGAGCCAAATTGAACACCAACACAGCGGGAAGCTACTGCCGGCTAGCGCAACCGGAAAGTAGCAGAAACTGCCATTTTTGGAATGGGACAAGTCACTGCTCAAAGACAGCTGAAAGCACCCTCTGACTTTGTTCCATTCCAGAACTGGAAGTTCCAGCTAATTTCTCGGAGTGTGGTACTTTCCGATTTCACTCCCTGTCATTCCAGTTCTTGCAATATGTTATTGCTGGTGGATACTGCCCCATTCATCTATCCTTGGACCTATTTTTTGGGAGTGAAGGGCAGTTGCTCTTGGTGTGCATTGATATGGACATGTTGATATGGACTCAGGGGAGGATGAGGAGGAGTGGGGAGGTGGGGCTCAGCATGTAGCCCAATCCCAGACATTGAGATGGGAGAAGTAGAAGCGCTTATCCCAAGACCAGATTCTCCAGTGCTCAGACAGCATCTGAGTAAGAGCAAGACGTACAGCTATCAGGAGAGGTTTCTCAGAGGCAGATGAAGGGCGGTTCTCAGAGACAGAGGAAGCAGGTGTGGCTCCCAGCCCCGTGATGCAGCACCAGGAGAAGAAGGCTACCCGGTTGGAAGGTCAGTGTACAGAGAAGAGACAACCTCATTTCCAGAAGGCCCCTCTTGAAAGGAGAGTTCCTCAAAGCAAATACTAGATTGTGTCCAGCAAAACACTCTGTGCATGCTCAAAGATTCATTCTGGGTGCTTGGGCTCCTGCAAAACACTTTGGTCAAAGAACAGTCAAAGAAACCTTTTGCAAAGAAAGGTCTGTGGCTTTGAATGTGTGAATGCCCCCCCCAGCAACAAGGTGAGGGGGAAATTGACAAGAAAAAGGGCCTCCTTGATCATTGCACCTCACCTTTGGAATCCCCTTCCAAGGCAGGTGCAAGTGGCACCCACTTTATCTTGATTTCGGCACCAAATAAAGACTTTTTTATTTAGTATCTGTTGTTAGATTGG